TAATCCTTTTCATGGGGCACCATGACAGAGCAAAAGAGGGATCCTGAGCTCCCTGCCCAGCTTCCCTGGAGACCCTTCCTGGGGGTGTGCTGTGTCCTGCAGTCAGAGCACCGGGACTCTCCCTGGAGAGCTGCACCCAGGCTACAGGAGCTTACTCGCCTGTCTTGGGGTCCAGGGGAACTGGGGTTCCTGACCCACCCAGGGAAGGAAGTCTCAATAGGTGACAGCAGCAGTGTGAGGCCCCCAGCTCCCGCTCCAGGGGTGGAATGTCTGAGGTGTGTGCACCATCCACTGTTCTCTGTGGAGCCAGATGGGACTCCTCTGTGGGAGTTGCAGAGGTGATGCCCATGCCTGGCCCCTTCCTTCTCCTGACCTGCCCTCACCCATTGAAGGTTTCTCCTGACAGCCAGTCTTCATACGTCTCTTGCACATGATCCACTTCTCCAATTCGACTGCTTGGATTGGGCCTGAGGCACGGGGCTGTCAGGCGGGGGTAGGGAATGTGGGCTGCAGGGACTTTCTTCATAGGGAAGGTTGTTCTGGTCCTGTTCCTACAGCACAGAGATAGTGGTAACCCAGGCTGGGATGGGAGCATATTCCAATAATCCACCCCAGTGGGCAGGAGAGTGTCATGCCTCGCCAACTTCTCTCTTACAGGGAGGAGACAGAGGCTGGGGCCTCTTCCTGCCCTGGGCTTCTCCTCTGCCAGGAGTCCCCGTGCAGCCCTCAGTGAGACATGAGGGAGACCCAGCGTGTTTCCTTGTTTCCTTCAATCCAGCAGGTGCGGATGTGGGGCACCCCTGTCCTCCAGCTCACCTGTGGAAACTTGTGCACCTGCTATACCAGGGGTCCTCAAACTTTTTAATTAGGTGGCCAGTTCACTGTCCCTCAGACCATTGGAGGACCACTGGAGAGTGCGGCACACATTCCACACATGCGCACTGTGGGCCTGGGATGAGTTGACTGTTAAGCAGGACAGGCAGTGGTGGCAAAAACACCCGGCAGGCTGGAAAAATGTCCCCGGCAGGCTGCATGTGGGCCGTAGTTTGAGGACCCCTGTGCTGTAGCCTCCCGGTGACATAGGCACCCTTGCCCATGTCCCCATGGTGCTAACAGCGCACTGTGCAAAGTGGGTTGCAGGGCATGGCAAGACCACAGTGGGACAAGTGGTGCAGACAGAGGGTCAATCCTGGCACTGGCTGGAGTGGTGTTCTCCACGGCTGTGCGCTGGTTGCCTCAGCTCCGTCACTTGACTGTTTTGTGACACAAATCCTGCATGTTTATCTTTTCTCCCACATTTTTCTCAAGCAATAAATATGAAAAATCATGCTCTCAGAATGTGTAGCTCAAGACAAATATTTTGCAATAAAACTTGCAAAATGCTTCTAATAAGTAACACATAATGAGAAAGCCTGACAAGTGACTAAACCACAGGTTTTGTTTTCATTATTAATGGTGATATTATTGTAAGAACTTACAGTGTAATTGTTACTACAACTCTTACCAGTGTCATTGAAAGGTATAAGTATAGTTTTATTCTTTTAGTGTAAAGTAACAGTGCACAGTATGCACTGGTAGAATTGGGATAATTGTCACCAGTGAATCTCGAAGAGATTCTTCTGCTGTTAGTGACTCGCGGGGCTCGTGGGTCAGTGTCTCTGGTCCCTTTCTGCCTGAGCTGATACTGAGTCCTCATCTCCATGGGTAGGAAGTGGGGCTGCTGCGGATATTGTTTGTCACATCCTGGGGCTAATTGCCCTCCTGGGGTGTGTCACGAATTTCTCAGGCTGATCATCTTGTCTGAGATTTGGGGTTCGTCACTTGTCCCAGGATGACACACTAGATGGGACCAGGGGTCTTCCAGCTTTGTGGGGCCTCCTCACACGGGGCCACTGCTCCTTCCCTCCACCCCCTGGTGTGTGCTTTTCCTTGTGACGTGTCTGTCCCATGCAAACGGGGACGGGCACAACACCTACCTGCAGCTGAAGCTCAGGCAGGCTGCGGTGACATTTTTCTCCAGTTCTTGGTCCTCAGAGTCACCAGTGCTGTTGATTGCACTGTTATCCATCACAGTCTCAAAAGTCCAAAGGACAGTGTGTCTGTGATCTAGTCCGTAGCTTCTCATATGTGACTGATGTAGTTTTGGAACTTTCCAGAGTGTTCTCCTGTACAGATCTGCAACTTCCCTCTTCCTTTTCCTGCTTATATCATATTGTGGATTCATTAACCCCAAGCTTATGCTAATATTACTGTAAATCCTGCCTGAAACAAGCTCATCTAACACATCCAGTTTCTCTGTAAGGCACATCAGGGCATCCTTGCACTTGGGAACACTGGACAGCAACTGAGTAGTATTCTTGAGGCCAATGTCACCATATCATTCACCAACAGAGCGCACTGAATTTCTTTTTGAAAGAAGCAGTAAATTGCCCATAAAAGTACACTTCTTTGCATGATTCACCTGAAACAGAAGATAGCATTCAGTTAAATCTCATGAGGAAGGGGCCCTGGTGGGTTCAAGTTCTGTTCTAAACTATGCATGCCCTGAGAAAACTGAAAACACCACATGTTCTGATTTGAGGATATTTATTTTTATTAATTTTGAGGATTTTATAACATGAAATACATGAATAATGAGGGTGGGCTGTCTATCCAATGTTGCTGCACTCTTACATTAGAGGTCTGGTACAGTAGCACAGAAGCCATTAACCACAATATTCAGACATTTACACCTCCAGATGTGTAACCCTAATAAGATGATTTTTAACCATTAGAAGCCTGCACCCTCTGCATGTGCAAAACCACAGCTGAGCTGTGCTAGCTACAGATAAGGTAAACCCTGGGGCTAAAAAGACCCCACCTGCTGCTGCCCTTCAGGCTTCTCTGACTAAGACTCCTGCCCCGGAAACTGAGCACCTGCACCCAGATGTGTAAGCTCCCTCTTGCAGCCCCTTCACCTGCCAGAGTCCTCTGACCCTCCTCTCCTCCAGGGGTGACCTTTGGAGGGTCTCAGGCTCTGGAGATCGGCACTCACATGCAAACCCTTCAGTGCAGCTCAAATGGGTCATTTTGTCCTGCCTCGCCACACCTGATTTGTGTATTTGGTCAGCTCTGAAATCCCTCCAACTGCCTACAGAAATCCAATGTTGCTTTTTTTCCAAGTCTCTTTTGTCTAGTCTGAACTTTTCATTTTCATCTGAATTTTATAATCAACATTTCCATTTGTGCATAAAAGGAAGCTGGGATTGTAATTGAATTTGAAGGCAGGAATTGGAGAGTATGCAGAATAATGCCATCTTTACAATATTAACTCTGTTAATCCATAAATATAGGATGCATTTCAGTTTATTATATCTTTGGTTTATTTTAGCATTAGCTTATAATTTTCAGTGCACAGACTTGCACTAATTTGTAAAATGTATTCCAACAAGTATTATTTTTATTATTATCATTATTAATTTATTTGAATGAAACTGTTTTTGATTTTATTTTTGGATTGTTTTCATTGTTAGTGTGCAGAGAGACAACTGATCATTTGTGTCAACATAGTATACTGAAACATTAGTTCTTAATAATTGCCGAGAATGGATAATGTAGCATTTCCACATGTATTTTTATTACAAAGTAATTTTGGCACTTCTAAGTCATTTGAATGCAATAGACAGATGACAGGTAGATGATAGAGGATATTTTAGAATGAGCATATTTGTCCACGAATGCAAATCATCTTTTTGGGATTAGTTGGGACTGGTGTTGATTCTGCAGGTCAGTAGAAGATAGTGTGCACCATAGTGATACTGAGATTTCAGATCAGTCATCATGGCACATGTCCATATTCATTGTGTATTTTTACTTCTAAACAGTATTTGATAGTTTTCTGTTTCCAATGCCATGCAAATACAATGAATTCCGTGAGAAAACATGTTGATTTTACTACTTTTGTTACTTTGGAGACCACACAATATGCAGAAATGTGACTTTTCTCTGTAAGAGAGTGTAAGAAAGGGCTCAGAGAATCTGGTCTTGTGTTAGGCTTGTCAGGGGAAAATTAAGAAATGGGAATACATTAGTCAGCATTTTCCACAGAGGCTATACTAATAGGAAACAGAGTGAGTCAGATAGACAAATGGAAAGATAGATATAGATAGATAGATAGATAGATAGATAGATAGATAGATAGATAGATGATAGACAGACAGATGGGTAGGTAGATAGATAGGTACATAGATAGATACACAGATACATAGGTAGATAGATACATAGATAGGTAGGTAGACAGATAGATGGGTAGATAGATGGGTAGGTATGTAGATAGATGGGTAGATATGTAGATAGATAGATGGGTAGACAGATACATAGATAGAAAGATATATGGACATATAGACAGATAGATAGATACATACATACATGCATAGAGAAATAGGTAAGAAGTGAGATAGCTATGGACAGACAGACAGATACATTAAAGGGAAGACAGAGCCCATGGGATCTGCTAGCATGGCTCAGTTCCACTCTGCCAGCCTGAGACCAGTGGATGACTCTCAGTGTGAAACATAAGGCCAAAGAACCTGGTCGCTGATGTGCAGGTGCAGGAGGAGAAGGATGTCCCAGCTCCAGAAGAGGGAGAGAGGGAGGGACTGCGCCTCCTGCTGCTTTTCCTGCTGCCTGAGCCCCCAGCTGATTACACCCTGCCCCCCCCCCACCGCAAGTAGCATGGATGACCCCACTGATTCCACTGACTGTCTCCTCTGGAATCACCCTCACAGACACACCCAGAAGAAATGCTTTAACAACTCTGCAGGTATTCCTTAATGCAACCTATTTAGCAGATAAAATTCAACTTCACAGGGACTTTCTTTTATGGGAACTTCCTAAAGGAGTGGAAGAAACACAATGATCTGGTTCATCAAAACTTAACTGAAGATATTTTACAGATAATCAACTCCATTTCCCCTCCGTTTTCATAATCCTAAATCAAAGAGAGCCTCAGTCCTCCGTCTCCCTGTCGCTGCCTCAGCCCAGCACAGCTGCATCTCCCTCAGGGTTTCTGACCCCCTCAGGATGTGGGTTGTAGCACTGTGTCTCTCGCACAGTAATACACAGCCGTGTCCTCGGGTCTCAGACTGCTCAGCTCCATGTAGGCTGTGCTCGTGGACGTGTCCCTGGTCATGGTGACTCGGCCCTGGAACTTCTGGGCATAGCTTGTTCCTCCTGTGTTTGTGTAGATCCATCCCATCCACTCCAGCCCTTGTCCAGGGGCCTGTCTCACCCAATGCATAGCATAGTTGGTGAAGGTGTATCCAGAAGCCTTGCAGGACACCTTCACAGAGGCTCCAGGTGGCTTCACCTCAGCCCCAGACTGCACCAGCTGGACCTCGGAGTGGGCACCTGTGCAAAGGACAGGATGGAGTGAACCCTCCCACCTTGGCTGGCTCCAGTCCCCTCCTCACCCTGGGACTGGAGAGACCCTCACCTGTAGCTGCTGCCACCAGGAAGAGGATCCTCCAGGTCCAGTCCATGGTGAGGAGCTGAGCTCTCAGGGCCTTCTCCAGAGGAGGGACGTGGCTTGGGGTGATGCTCTCAGGGCACAGGCATAGCTGTATTTACCTCAGCAGACCTCAGGTCATTTGCATATTCATGAGGCAGGGCATTTCATAGCCCTAGACCTGCCCCAGCATAAGAAAGAGAAATGAGGTGATACGTGGGCCACGCAACAGTGAGATGCTGGGGACAGGCGTTCCTGCAACCTCCTTGAACACTATGTGCACAGAAGTCCTGCCACTGAAGAACAAGCCCCAAGCACATGTACTTCACTGTGAACCCACATGTGATATGCATGGAGAGCCCTAGGACCATCTGTGCCATTTTGTATCCAAAGGTCGTGTCGTTTAGATAAGTGCACTTCCTGAAATTTTCTACCCATTTATTTATGAAAAGCTTCCTTTGCCTCCAGCTGCTTACTCTTAACACATGTGTGAGGGCTACAGACCCTTTGTAAATGTGGCTTTCATTAAACTATTGTGTTACATAAACACTCACAGCTGAGTAGGATATTCATACAAATATCAATACACATATTAAATTATTATTTTAGATTTTTTCAAAAAGGAATACCCAGTCCCCAAGAGCAACCCCCTCCCACCCTTCTGTGTACCTGCTGCTGGGCGGCAGTCTGTGTTAGGTGCTCCTGAGCACCCCCTGAAGCCCAGCCCTACCTGCAGGGGAGGTTCCCTCTGGGCTCTCAGAACATCTTCCTTCCTGTGTCCCCAGCCCAGTGTGACCTGGTTGTGCCCTAGATCGCATACTCCTTCACTGACAGCATGTGCTTTTGACTATAAACCATGAGCTGGCCTTTCTAAACCCACGGAACTCTGCAGGGAGGCCCCCAGCAAGAATTCTTTGAAACCATCAGGGAGCCCCTTCCCAGGAGCTCCACATGCCCTAGTACGGTCACACCCACAGGGGTCCGAAACCCTCAGGGGCTTTGGAGGAGCCTCGTATCTCATTTAAGTTCCCCTGGTTAAATGTTACATCAGAGAACATGTTAACACACAGCTAATGGTGATGGCCCAGAACCCACCACACTGCTAATCCTGTAGCACACTCACACACACACACACACACACACACACACATACACAACACACACACACACACACACACTCTCTCTCACACACACACACACACACACACACACTGTGGCCAGGGTTCACAGCTGTGGGAGGGACACTTCCCTTCTTCCCTGCATGTGGCACATGGGTCGAGCCCAAACACTGACCCTGGGCCTGAGTATGTGCCCTTGTCAGACAGACAACAGCAAAAACCTCACAACTGGAGAAAGGGACCTGCCCACGCTGTGGGTTTGCCTGTTCTCCCAGCAAGGGGGACCCTGCAGATGCCCCAAACTTGACTAGGGTTCAGGTTTGGCACTGCAGTTCTCAACTGGCCAGGCCATGTGCAGTCAGTGGAGCCATCGCCGAGGTGTTTGGACTGTGGGGAGGACCTCACTGGCCCTGCAGCACAGGAGGTCCCCCTCTCAGAGACACAGCCTGGAGTGAGACCTGGACAAGGTGTCTCTTCAGGATCAGAAGTAGGAGCTTATATTGGAACAGGGTACCTGGGAGGGAGAGCTGGGTGGGTCAGAGTCCCAGAGAACCATGGTCTGGGAGGGGCCCCATCCACCCCTTCTTCCATTTAGCACCTATTGTGGGATCTTGTTACTCCCCCTCCTGGGCGGGTAGACTCCATGGGGTGACTGACTAGTGTTTTCACTTCTCGAGTCTCGAGTCTCGGGAACATAAGAGGTGCACTTCAAAAGCACAGTTGAGGAGACACGTCTGCCAGGCTTCAGGTGATGCTGCCCATGGGCCCATGTGTCTCCCCTGGGCTGACCAGGGGCTGCACGTGGCCTGAGGAGGACTCAGACAATTTCACCAAGGTCCTGGATCCCCCATCGCATAACAGGGCCCTATGCGATGTGACTTCCCAGTGTCTCCTGCCTAGAGGAGTGGGCTGTGTCTGGCCCCAAACACAGGCTGTGCCCAGGAACTCACTTGTGCCAGCGACAGAGGACATGAAAGTGTAGGGACACTTAGCACCCTCAGTTAACTGCTGTCCAGGAAACTGTGCAGACTAGCAGGGTTGTGAGCCAGGGACTGGGGGTCCCCTGAGAACCCACAATTGAGGGAAGTTAGGTCCTGATAATCAAAAGGAGGAGTTGTCAGCCAGATCAGGTCCCGCTCAGCTGGGTCAGCTCCTGGGTGGGGCAGCAGCCTGTTGAGTGTGGTTCCTGCCCTGTGAGGGAGGCCAGGCTTCCACAGGGGGCCCTTCTCACCAGCAAGGAAGGTAGCATTGTCCATCCTCGTGTGCCCAGCGTACTGGTGATCTCCCCTTCCTGACCTCCTGCCCAGTGGCCCACAGGCCCTGCATCTAACACAGGGACAGAGGCACTTCTTAGTCACCCCTGCAATTGCCCAAGCCCAGGTCACTGCAGGAGAGACTGGAGTCCCCCTGATTCTGATCCTGGATGAATCCGAGTGATTCACAAGGATATGTTGAATATTACCATGAGGAGAAGATAAACTTTGCAAATACCACAAAGGCTGAGAAAGAAATGACTCTGAGGAGGATGGGTGTGTGTGTGTGCTGAGCATGTAGCTGTCAGAGGGTCCAGGTTCATCTAGTGACGTTGGTTTTATCCCCCTGTGTGACTGGGTTTCCCTAAGTTTTCCTGCTCAGATAGACTCTGTCATCACACACGGAGCTACCAACCACTCTCATCATGCTGGTGGGATGAGGAAGTGTTGGGAAGGGAAGGGTAGATATTGTTATGACTACACCTTAATGACTCAGTCATCCTCTGCCCCTGGGCTTTGACCTTCACCAGGAGCCCCCAGTAATAGAGGTCATTTGAACCTGTGCTCTACGCCCCTCCCTGGGAATAGTGACCTGGACTATTCCCCTTACTCTCTGACCTTATTGATTATTTCCTCTCATGGGAGATACAGGAGGAAAGGAGCGTCCTGGAAGAGGCAGAGTTCTCTTATCCTGTTAATACTCTGCAAATGACTTTCCTCCAGAGAGTCCATCTGCACCAGACTCAGGGCGCAGGTGTCAATGAACTTCCTTCCCTTCTCATCTCATGCAGCATAACAAGCACGTTGTGTTCTGGAGTAACTCACATCTTCCGTCACCTGGCTTAGGAAATTGTGGTTTGGATTAATTTGTTTCTTGTTTCAAAGTCTATAACATAAAAATTTGTTCAATATTTACATCATTTCAGTGAATGTCCACCATTCTTCACATTTACTTGTGGATTTTGGATGAACTTGGATCCACGGCCAGCCACAGTCTCTGACCCAAGGCTTCCCTATCACACACACAGACCAGGCCTTGTCTCTGCCCTGATGAGGGAGACTTATTCTTGGATATGTGTGTCACCTCTCTGTTTTCTCAATATTAAGATCAATAGAACTCTAGAAATGCCCTCTTCAAATGTGTGTCTCTCCTAAGTGGACACATAGGTACTACAGTAATAGGGTACTGGGCAGGGGGGAGGGGGCGTATATACATACATAATGAGTGAGATGTGCACCATCTGGGGGATGGTCATGATGGAGATCAGCTTTTGGGGAGGGGGAAGGCTTTATTGAAACCTTAAATCGTACCCCCGTAATATGCCAAAATAAAAAAAAATGTGTGTCTCTGCCTTATTGAGATAGGCAAATGTTCCCATGGAATCATGAGTGTCCATAAAAACAATCCTGCAGTGCTGTTGAATTTCATTTTTTTTCTTCTTTTGAAAAAGGAAAATTCTGTGCCTGTGAGGAAACTCCTCTTACCACTCTGAAATCTGTGGCATGACCTTGTCTGGATTAGTCCTTGTTGGAC